AGATCAAACTGGACCTTGCAACTTGCAAGGCAGGTTCAGTGCCACTGAGCTAAATCCCCAGCCCTGGTATATATTTTTAAAGAGTTTGTCCTAGTTACTTTTCTCACTACTGAGACAAAATACCCAACACCCAAAGCTAAAGGAGAAAAGGTTTATGTAGCTCATAGTTTGTAGAGGTTTCCATAATCAGCCGGCCCCAATGCAGGGCAGCATCTCAGAGGAGAAATTTCAAGGTGAACTGAAGGTAGCAAAACAACAAGGGACCTTAACAGTGTTCTGCCCCTTTCGTCCCATCCATACTTATGATGGGTAATATCGATACTCTTAATCCTAGTACCCTTGATCCTATCATTGTACCATGAATCAGTTCCAGTGTCACACACTGTAGATCCAGCCACCTCTGAAAAAGCCCCACCTATAACCACATGAGGTTTTGGGGGGACATCTAAACACAAGCCATAACAGGGTTCTTTAATGTTACCAGTGATAATATGTCACTTATTGCTAAATTTTTAGAATAACCTGATTTTCATTTATGTATCTGAAGTTCCTGTTCATGCTTCCCAGCAATTATGATTTAAGAATAGGAAATAAAGACTAATCATAAATGTTAGTACAGAAATGTGAAAATATCCCTACTTCCCCTAGAACATACTAGGTATTTCTTTTTTAGTCAGTAAAACCCAGTTTTCTATGACAGAGTAAAATGTCCCCTATCATAAAGTGCTTGAAAATTACAACAGAATTTCCAGAAGGGAAATAAAATTTGAAGCTGATATGGTATAATCCTGGTATTCAGGAGGCTGAGTAATTTAATTAAAATTCCCTGCTATTAAATCTTACTTTAGGAAATGCTAAAACCACCAAACACTACATTAAAAAAAAAATTAAACAATAAATGACAAGTCACTGGGGCTAAACACTGGTAAAATAATAGAATGAGGGAGATAGGTGAGCAATCAAAGGTTCTGAATAAGGGTTGGCATAATAACTAAAAGTGTACAGTGAATATAAGGGGAAAAAACATAATCAGTTCTAATTCTGTTTTACAGAATAGTTAGACACTAGTTTTAAAGTAAGGGTGTACCCTTTAGGGTTAGTTATGTTTATTTTCAGAAATACTGTATCCTCTTGTGTCTCTAAAGAACATTTAGCACTGTAGTGGGTTAACCAGCTGTCATACTATGAATTGATGCAATCAGTGTGGGGGGTTTCTAATAATATAGAATGTGTTAATAATATAGAATGTATTTCCCTCATAGAAAGACACTCAGTAATTTTGTACATCAGAACTCATGTGTGCCAAACCCTGAAAACAAGACAAAATAAATTTACCATATACCTTACCCTTGACAAGAGTGTAACTGAAAGTATGTTTAAATTTTACATCTTCATTTTTGCTACCATTAAACTGGTTTATTAATTTCTTAGAATAAATGCTTCACAAATTTGTTTGTCATCCCTGCATAAGGGCCATGCTAATCTCCTCTGTATTGTTTCATTAGTTTTAGTAAGTGTTGCCAAAGCGAGCACTTTATTAATGTTTTTATGTAGTTAATTTATAATTGCATATAACTGTTTTCCCCAACTTAATTACTGAATTTAAGACAAGCAGAAATAAGCAAAATTATGTTTTTATTATTCATAAGGATGTATACAGATTTTATTTGATAGTAGTGATTAAAAAGTATAAACACTTGTGCACAGTATGAGGTATATATAAAGTGTACTCTGGGTGGCCTCCAGAGAGACTTAGATCTGTGTACTGTGGTGCCAATATGCCAGAGAAAATGAAATGCTCAGACCTTTTTGAGGATTACTGGATACTGGCTATGAGTCAATGCTAATACCTAGAGACCTAATTTGCCACTGTAGTTGTATTTTAGTTACATTCATATTCTGAGGGTTCATTTTTGAAAGATTTTTCTCAGTTTTTCTTTACCTTCTGATATGACTGCTAAAAGCTCAAACTAAAAATACTGGCATCAGCTTTGTCAGTTTTTGTTGATTACATGTGATTGCATTATTACTACTACCTTTAGACTTGGAATTTCTATAATCTGTAAGCCCGTTAACCACATATACTATATAAACTACAATCCCTTAAGGCCACTCTTCTTGACCCCACCCTAATATGGAATTCCCACCCTGTCATGTGGATATTTTACCCTGTGTGACCTGGGGCTAACATATGAGCCAATGGGAAAGTGTAAGTTCAGAAGGGATGAAAAGTTCAGAGCAGTTTGACCTAATAGATCCTAATAATAGGGTGTGTAACTGGACAGGGTGATACTATTAGGCTTCCTCTACACCTACTTATACTTCCATATTTTTTCATTAAAACTTTTTTATAAGGGGCGGGGGATTTAGCTCAGCGGTTCAGTGGCCTGCCTTGCAAGTGCAAGGATCCGAGTTCAGTTCCTGGTACCAAAGCAAAACAAAACAAACAAACAAAAATTTTTTTTATAGTGAAATTTTTTTTCTCAGATTTGTATTCATTATGAAAATGAGACCACCTCAGTTACAAGGAAAATAATTGCTTTACTGAAACTTGGTATGTGGAAATTTTCAGTTTGGGCTCTGCAGAAGTGTTTCTGGATTCTTAGGGTCATTTAAAGGCATAAATAAAGCTGAGTACATTCAACTCTAACCCTCCACTCTGCTTCCTTTAGTTTGTCTGTTTTAGAAATATATGAGAATTCTGGGTAAACTTTGTGGGTCATTTGTTTTGGCAGTAGGAGATAGAATTCAGGACCTTTGCCCTCAGCTACCTCTGTAGCCTTCTTTTATTTTGAGGCACAGTCTCTTAAGTTGCTAAGTTACCCAGGCTGGGTCAAAGTTATGATCCTTGTTCTGGGATTACAGGTATATATGCTCCCACCTGTAGCTTGAGTAGGCTTTCATTTGAGTCAAAACAGGTTAAAAATAGAATATTTTAGTCATAGAATTAATTTTATTAATTTTTAAAAATTAAATTTCAAATTACTTGCTTCCAGGAGTAAGTCTAGATTAATATGTATATTATTTACTTGGTGCTAATGATCATAGATAAGTAGCATCTGTTTGACTAACAGGACCTCTAGTGTGTGTACTGTTACCAACTTGCTTTTTGGTTTTGAGAAAAATTAATGTTTCAATACAAAAACAGTGTTTTGAACATTAATTTGCCAGAAGTATTTGACAAAAGGTTTTATTAAAGAGGGTTTTATTGTTTTCATATAAAATCAGTATTTTAATTATTTTTTAAAAGGGCTTTAGTTCATTTGATTTTATAAAATCATTTTTGAAAGCAAGCAGGTGGAATGGTTATCCTTTTTATTATCAGGAAAAGCATGAGCTTCAGAATCAAACAACAGGGATCTGAACACTGCTTATTTATAAGCTTGGGCAAGTGTCTTAAAACTCTGACACTTGGTTTCTACATCCAAAAACTAATTACCATAATACTTACTGAATATGTATTATGTTCCAGGCATTGTGTTAAACACATTAGAGATGTTATTTAATTCATACAGTAACCTTATAATGTAACCACTACTTTATTCCCATTTTACAGTTGAGAATCCAAAGTACAGAAAAGTAGGTAACCTAACTCAGGTCAAATGAAAAAGACCCAGAATGCTAAAAGGATCAGGGATGGTACATATAAAGCATATGTCAGATTTTGAGTAAGTAATCAGGTCTATGTATTATTATTGATGCTAGCATAAAAAGAACCAAAGTGTATTCAGGTCAGTCTTTTTTTTTTTTTTTTTAATAGTCTATGAGCCACAAATTAAATCCTGCTTCAGATTATCTGTTTCTTCAAACTCATTCTATGGTGAAATTTCGAGATTATAAAGAACTTGAAGGCAGGGAACCATGTTTATAATTTTCTTTTACGCTCTGTTGCTCTCACTACGATATACATTTGAGCAAATAGTGTGAATTTGATATATGCTTATTAATTTGTCTTGAAAGGACAAATGTGGATATATTCATAAATAAAAATTGCCATTTTCTGAAAAAGATTTTCTCTCTCCAAGAGTTAATTCTTTAATACTTTTTAAATTGCCACTGAAGATTAATTTTAGGGCTTGCTTTCTTTCTTTCTTTCTTTTTTTTTTTTTGGTACTGGGATTGAACTTGGGACCTTGCCTTTGCGACACAGGCAGTGGAACCACTGAGCTAAATCCCTGATCCCTTTTAGGCATTTCATTCTAAGGTTCTTTTGTCTTCTTACAAAACAAGGAAAAAAAAGTGAGAAAACTTTAAGGAAGGCTGACTTCTCAAGAATTTTTGTGTGGGGGAATTACTGAGACCTAAAAATCCATAAACTATTTTTCTCCTTTTTTTATATATATTTTCAGCAAGCTGTATGTAGTAAGTAAAAGTTTGCAGTTGTTTTTCTATTAGGCCAAATTAAACAAGCCCATAAATAATTTTTCTCAATTTTATTTTTTTATGTATTCTCAATAAATTGTACTTCTAGTTTGTAAAAAAATTTAGTGTTTTCTATCAGGACAATTTTTATTCTATTATACTTAGAGCTGATAAGATATAATGAAGTCTAAATTTAGTCCCAAATTGAGTACATTTTAATAAAATTGTCTAGTCCATTTTGGGCTTAGATTACCTCACACCAGTCATTCAAAATGACATTTTATTACAAATGCTTTTTTATATCTTAGTTTAAAAATAACATATATAGTTTTATTCTGATTTTTAAAAGTAGTATAGCTATGAATGATGCTGATATACCAGTCAACCTTTCTGCACTACAATGCAATTTTGTGATATTTTTTTCAAATAATCAAGTATTTACACTTGAAACATGGCTTCTTTATTAAAAACTTAAAATTCCTGTTTTTCCTATTTTGTTTACAAATAGTGATTGAAAATGAGGGGAAGCTGCCCTGTGGACAAGAATGAGATATTTTTCTTCATTATCTCTGTTTCTTTAGGATGTTTTCTTTCATATTCTCTTTAGAATAATGATGCTGTCTGCTCTGGATTTTCCTCTGTTTAACTGTTGTACCCGAGGGGCTAGAACAATGCATGCCTCATAGTAAGTCTCAGATACTTCTTGAGAGAATAAAAGAGCACTTGTTATGATCTGGACATCTTTAGTATGTATTTTCCTTTTTACTTACTCATCAAATACATTATAAGAGTGAGGCATTATCTTCTGGAGTTTGCCTGACTCTCTGGGCTCTTAATATAGTGTGCTATTATTTACAGCTACAGCCATGCCTTTGTGAGGGTAAGAGAGAAAGAACTTAGAAATGAATAAATCAGTGCAGTCCAGAAAAGGCGATTCTGTAGAATTGGCATTGGAGGTGAGATCAGAAAATGACAGCAAATAGGTAAGAAGGTTCTTTTTTGGATGAAGAAAATGTTCCAGAATTATATTGTGGTGATCATTATACAGATCTGCAGATTTAATAAAAATCGCTGAATTATTAAAATGAGTGCATCTTATGGTATATTAGTTGTGTCTCAGTAGAATGTTGAATAAGAACAGAGGATTTAGCTCAGTGGTTTTGACACCTGCCTCGCAAGCATAAGGTCCTGAGTTCAATCCCCAGTACCAAAAAAAAAAATTTTTTTTTAAATAAAACCCATGTAAAAGTTAAAATATTTCCATTTTTGCTAATTGGAAAACCAGAATGATTACTTATTTTCTTTCTTTGAATGTAACTTGTTGCTATAGACAAATGACTAATTTACTTAGAATCACTTTTTATATGAGATTTTCTTTTTTGTACTGGGGATTGAACTTGGGACCTTGCATTTGTGACGCAGGTGGTAGAACCACTGAGCTAAAGACCCACTTTTTTTTTTTAAGAACCACTTTTTAAAGCTGGGCATGGTGGCGCATGCCTGTAATCGCAGCACTCGGAGGCTGAGGCACAAGGATCACTGCAAGTTCAAGACCAGCCTGGGATACATAGTGAGTTCCAGAGCAGTCTCAACTACATAGTGAGACCCTGTCTCAAAGAAACAAAACAAAAAAACAAAGCTTAAAAACAAAAAACAAAAAACACTTCTTATACAAAGTATTTCAGAAGTGTTTTTTATTCTGTAGTAAAGTATATTCTTTTGTGATATTGGATTGTAGTTTATAAAATGTCTTGTTTTAAATTTCCTTATGGATGCTGGGAGTGGTGGAACATGCCTGTAATCCCAGCATTTGGGAGGCTGAGGCAGGAGGATCGCTGTGCTTTGGACCACCCTGGGCTACATAGTGAGTTCCAGGTCAGTCTCAACTACATAGTGAGACCCTGTCTCAAATTTTTTTTTCCTTATGGAATAGAAAGAAAAGGTCTAATGGAGTAGGGGAAGTGGGAGGACTAGGGGAAAAAGTATGAGAAAAGGAAAAACATGGAAGCAATGTCTTTTGTAAACAGGGACAGTTAGAGGGGCTAAAGGGAGGACCAGGGAATGGGGAAAAAAATAAGAACCAAGATAAGTCATGTAAAGTTGCAAGATCCCAGTGTATACCTAAAATGTACCAATAAACAATAATTTAGCATAAAATTTTCCTTCTGGACAATTTGGGTTATTTCTAAAGCTGTAAAGGATAGATATAAATTATTCAACATTGTTGGTAGTTTTTCATTGAATTGCATAGCTAAAACACTAGTTTTCCATTTCCTTTCTGAAAGATTGGTTTTACTTATCAAGATAGCTTTTTAATTTTAAAATTTCAACTGATGTAGAGATTAAAATAGTACATATTCGTGGGGTGCCCTGTGATGTTTTGATGCATTGTGTAATGTTTAGATAAAGTTGAACAGTCTTCTCAAACATTTATGTTTACTTATTTTTGGTGAAAACATTAAAAATTCTTTTTTCCAGTGTTTTGAAATATGTTATTGCTTTCATAGAAGTTGAGAATAGAATAGTGGTTACCTGAGCCTGAAAAGAATAGTTGGGGGAGCCAGGCGTGGTGGAGCTCGCCTGTAATCCCAGCACTTGGGAGGCTGAGTCAGGAGGATCACTACAAGTTCGAGACCAGCCTGGGCTAGTTCCAGGTCAGTCTCAAATGCATAGTGAGACCTTGTCTCAAAAAACCAAAACAAAAAGTGTTACTGAATGGTCAGTTGTAGTTGGGACTGAGAAGTTATGGTATGTTGTTGCACAGGAGGGTGACTAGATAACAATGTATTATTTATTTTGTAAAGGAAATTATTTATGGACCTTCCCCTCTCTAGTGTATTCTCTTTGGTCTTTTGTTGTTTTGTTGTTGTTGTTGGGAGAGATTACTTGTATTTCAGAATTACTTTTTGGAAGAAAAACTCACATTCTCATTCATAGATTTGTGTATTCTTTTTGTTTTGTACTGGGGAATTGAACTCAAGTCCTTGCACTTGCAAGGCAGGCAGTGGCACCACTGAGCTAAATCCCCAGCTCTGTATATGCTTAAAAATATTTTATAGATGTCCCTTCTAAGAGAATATAGCATTTAAAAAATTTGACTTCATCCTGAAAAATTATTTATAAAAGCTTTTCCTGAGTATAATAAAGACCAAATGGATTAGAATATAATTAAAATTATTGAGATTGCTTAGCTCTTGTCTTGATAGTAGCAGACAATGGCAAGGATATGAGGACCTAGAGATGCTGTAATTAAAAGTCATTTGGAATGTAAAAATTGACTGAGGTAGTGTGATTTCTTGGTACTTCTATTACCATTTACTTAATTTATATCTTAAAATTATTTAGATTTTTTTTTGTACTGGGGATTGAACTTGGGTCCCTGTGCTTGCAAGGCAGGTGGCAGAACCAGAGCTAAATCCCCAGCCCTTAAAATTATTTAGATGATGCTGATATAGTCATTGTTACTGTTACAATTGAAATTATTTTATTTGCTAAATACTAGACACTCTTTTATAAAGACTTTTCTTTTTTTTTGGTACTGGGGATTGAAGTCGGGTCCTTGCGCTTGCAAGGCAGGCCACCGAACCGCTGAGCTAAATCCCCAGCCCTGAGACTTTTCTTATAATAACTCATTTAATTCTCATAATGGCCCTGTGAAGTGTTATCCTTATTTAATGGGTAAAGAAGTTCATAAGTTAAAATTATGCATCCAAGGTGACACTGAAATGGGCAGTACTTAGAACCACTGTACCAAATGATATGATTGGTTTCCTTTCCTTTTTCTTCAAACAAACAAACAAAACAGCTAAACAAACTTCATGATGGAAAGATTAAAATATGTTTAGTATGAAAAGAGAATACTGTGCTACTGAAAGAAAAAAAGTCTTTTATTTTTTGTATCTTTATTTGCTTAGTACTGGGGATTGAAACAGGGCCTTTGGCCTGAGCTGCTCTTTTGTATTTTTTCTTTTGACACAGAATCTTGTTAAATGACTAAGTTGCCCAAGACCAGGCTCTAGCTTGTGTTACTCCTGCCTCAGCCTCCTAGAGCACTGGGATTACAGACATTTGCCACCAGGCCTGTCTGTACCGTTTTTTTTTATTAATCATTAATATTTCTATCAATTGACATAATCTGCTACTCATTTTTTGTAGGTGAGGTGATAGTTCAAACAATGTTACTGAATTTAATCATTCTCTTTTATTAAGATTTCTTTTATGTGTTTGGTAGTTTCATCATTTGTCTGTTTGGACTGGTTGAACCTTTTTCTGGAAAGTCTTTAAGCTTTGTTTGCAGTTTAAAAGGTATGGAGGATAATTGTACTTCACATTTCTAAAGTCAAAGTTTTCTAAATTTTAATTGATTAAAAGGGAAGAAGGATCACTAAAGTTTGAATGCAAATAATAATGGGCTGGGGATTTGTATCAGTGGTCTTGCTGCCTGCCCTGCAAGTGCAAGGGCCTGAGTTCCATCCCTGGTACCAAAAACAAATAATAAGTTTTCTCTCATGACATAGCTATGTTTTGGGGAGAAAGCTCAAGGTATTGTTTAGTTAGTAAATCATTCATGTCCCCTCTTTTTTTTAGGATTTTGGCCCCTAACAGTAATTATCAAGATATTGAGATCCTCTATAACTTCCTAATCAAGTATGAGGTATGAGAGTGTTTTAAAATGTTTATTACATTTCTACTATAAATGAGTTTTAATATAAATGTAGTTGGAGTTTTGAAATATAATGAACGCCTTTTTAATGGTATTTACTTTAAATTCTTGAATGTCATAGAGGTTTATCAGTGATGTATTTGCTTTTCCCTTCTGTATATATTTGGAATGTACAACATGATGTTATATATATATATATATATATATATATATATAAAATGCAACATTTCTAGTAAATCAACATATCTGTCACCTCACACAGTCACCCTTTTTGGTGTAGAAATAGCACCTAAAGTCTAGTCTTTTGACAAAAATCCTAAATACAATAATATTAATTATAGTCTCCATGTTGTACATTAGTTCTCTAGACTTGCTCATCAGAAGCCTTCTATCCTTTGACTTCATCTCCCCATTTCTTTCCCACTCCCTGGCAGCAACATTCAATTTTTTATTTTATTCTTTAAGTAAAGCAACAACAGAGTTCTGAAATAACACACAGAACTGTTCTTCCTTGGGCATTGGCATTTTGGACTGATCATTTCTTCCTTTGTAGGGTACTGCAGGATGTTTAACATCCATGCTTCTTGGATACTAAATTCCTGTAGCTGTATAAGTCATTGTGATAACCACAAATATTGTACTACTTCACTCAACTCCCAAACTCAAAACAGCCCCCAGAGAGGAAGTGCCACCTCTCGTTGAAAACCACTGATTACTGGGAAGGAAGGCTATAATTTAGTTTCCTCCATAGCAACAACATTAGCCATGGAGTTAGAGCTGGAATGAGGTTGCATTGTGTTTTGTAAGTTAACCTGCATGGTTTTCCCTGTCATTGCTGACCTAAGGAAGACACTCTGTTGGATTTTGATTTCTGGTGACCTAAAGCTTTTTACCTGTTTTCTGTATTTTTATCCTCTCAGTTTTGTGTGTGTTTAAAACACTCTAAATGAAGAAGTGACATGTATTAAGTCTCACTTTTTTTTTTTTTTTTTTTTTTTTTTGAGATAGGGTTTTACTTTGTTGTAGTTCAGGCTGGCCTTGAACTCATTGTGTAGCTCAGGCTGGTGATCATTCTGTTTCGGCCTCTAGAGTGCTGGATTACTGGTGTGTGCCTCCATGCCCAGCTTAGTCTCACATTTTTATGGAGTCAAACTTCTTTAAATAGTTAGCTCTTCATTTAACTTTTGATGTGTCATATGTTTCTATCAAGAACCTGATGAGGGCTGGGGATTTAGCTCTCAGTGGTTCTAGAGCCTGACTCACAAGCACTAGGACCCGAGTCAATCCCCAGTACCAAAACAAAAAAAAAAAAAAAGAGAGAAAACCTCATGAATCAGAACCCAGGAATTGAGGTCAAAGTTATACTTACTAACTGTATATTTTAGGAATACTGAAGTCTCCTTGTCTTGGTGTCTTCATCTGTGAAAAAGGAATAACAAAAATATACAAATTATAGGTATTCTTTTTTTTTTTTAATTTCTGTGCTTTTTATTGTATGAAGTAAAAAAATAAGAATACAGTTTGCTCAGAATAGAGAAACGTCCTTGTTTCAATATCATCTTCAAATTGCCTTCACTACTTTGGCCTTTATTTTTTTTTCCCCATTGAGTTTATTGGTACATTTTAGGTACACAGTACAGTTACATTCATCATTGGGATTTTGTACCTTTACGTGACAGATCTTGGTTCTCATTTTTTCCCCTTGTCCCTGCCCTCCCTTCACCCCTCCTCTCCTCCCCCTTTACAAACACTTCATTTCTTTAAAGACTTAGTAATGTATATAAAGAGTTCCAAATGGAACCAAGTGTAGAGTAGCTCTTCAATAATTATTACCTGTTTTTATTTAAGCAAAGAATGGTATTCACATGTACTTTATAAAAATCACCTTTAATACTTTCTAACCATATTATGTGATTATTGAAAGTGTTTCATTTTCTTCTTTTGAGATGATACATACTTCATGATACTTTCTGAATTTTAATTTGAGACAGTAAGTCTAACGATAAAGATATTTGTGGAAATTATAGGACAATGTTAAACTCATATATCCTAGAAAACTAAGGATAAGTAAATCTTTTGGGGTTTAGTACTTCCTATTGCTAAAGCTATTGGAAGAAAATACCTAACTTAATAGGTGTAAGAATATTTGGATTTGATTCTCAGATTTTAAAAATAATTTCCCTTAGCATAATTTCTTTTCCTACACTATTACTACATTGGAGACATTTGTCATATAAAAAGTGATAAAACCATCAATCTTTTAAGAAGTTTGAATATTTTAATACTTTGCCTTTTGTTCTTGAATTTTCTAACAATTATAAATAATTTAACCATTTCTAATATTTGGTTTTCATTGTAAATACTAAACTGAAAAAGGTAACACCACCAGTTCCACAATCCATTTTTATAGTCACAAATCTAATGTTTACTATCAAAAACAACTTTTAGCTATTTGTTTCTTGGAAATTAAAATTGTGCGTTTAAGGATGGAGATAGATGGTATTTAACAGTATAATTTAAAAGGTCCTAGTATGAGTAAGAAAAGCTGTATTAATAGTCAAAAATAATATGACAGAACAAAATATTTCAGACCAGATCTGTCATGAATTTTTGAGCTTCATTTGTTCTTTATTAGTAAATTAACCATTATTTTATAAATCATCTTATATAACCTGGAGCTCTGTCACCTTTATACTGCAGCTCTGTGCAGGGATAAATATCTTAAGTGAATGTGAATGGTTGCTTTTAAAACTAAAGATAAAGCCAGATTTTTAAAAAGAAATACGTTAAAAAATTAAGGAACTGTTTTATATTACTTTACTATTCAGGTTGAAAATCATGTCAGTGGTTAGCAGAAAACAGACTATTCTCGGTTATCCTCTGAGCAGATATGTGTGATGTGTTGACATTTGATGGCCTAAGTTTGGATACATTGTAGGTCTTGGCATGTTAGGGCAAAAATAAAAATATCAAAGACTCTTAGCACAAAGGCAGAACATGTAGGGACTAGACTTGGTACTTTAATGTTAAATGTGTATTTTAGTATATTTTTAAAGTATTAAAAATAAATTATTAAACTATAAAGTTATCCCTTATATCAATTTCATAAACATTGAATAAATAATATCAAATATGATTTATATTAGTAAATAACTATAAACATTTAATCCAAATGTTAAGTAAAATTTAGGATTATATTCATTTTAAATATTTTTTTGTGTATATATGAACATACATTCACACACTTGTATATATACACACTTTTGTGTATGGTGTGGACAGAACTCAGGGCCTTGTGAATGCTAGACATACACTCCTGAGCCATAGCCCCCATTCCTAAAATATTAAACTATAGACACTTTAACTTTCAATAAATGAAACATTTTCTAAACTTATATGGCGTACTTCATGTGAAAACATTAAAGAAGGTCATGGAATTTTTGTAGATAAGCAATACTATGAAATCTGTAGAAGTCTTGAATTTTTAGTGTTCATTAAATCAGAATAGGTGTTTTCCTCACCAAAATATCGTCCATCTAGTAATATTTCAACCACTTAAAAAAATGAGTAAAATAGAAAATAGTCTTGAGTTTCCCTCCACTAGTTTCAAATTTCTGAAAATTTAGGCACTGCCATGCTCTTTGTAATCTTATTAAAAAGACTTTTCCTCTGTTAATTTCTAGATTCTTCCTTCGACATAAGTAGAATATAGCCTTTATCAGTACTAAGCTTTGCCAGGCGTGGTGGTGCATGCCTGTAATCCCAGCACTTGGGAGGCCAAGGCAGGAGGATCACTGTGAGTTCAAGACCAGCCTGGGCTACACAGTGAGTTCCAGAGCAGTCTGAACTACAAAGTGAGACCCTGTCTCAAAAAACCAAAAAACAAACAAGCAATTTGTACTAAGCTTCAAGAAATGATTCCTTCACTGTATCTTTCATGTGTGTGCAACTAGTTTTTGTCTGATTTTGTATGATTTTATTATGTCTCAATTATATTTATTAACTTAAACATTAACTATTCAGACTTTAATGATTATAAAAATAAAGTTTTTTGGGAAATGTCTGCTAGTTACCCTTTTTCCTAAATTAGATAGACCTTTCAACCATAATCTCATTATGCTTGTTTCTGTCCATTTGATCTCCAAAGTGATTATCTGGTTTATTCAAATTTCTTCTAAATACAGGCCCATCTCACTTCTACTTTGAAACAACAGGACCAATATTTTTATACTTAGTTCAATATCAGCATTTTGGTCAGTGAATGTTTTAGTCCTTTTTATGGCAATACCTAAAACTCAAGATTCGGCTCCTTCAGAATAGGGGCTATTGTAATATAAGTCACACTTATTACTTGATTTAATATACATTAATAATTATATTTTGGTTCTTTTCAGGTAAATAAACATGTCACATTTACTGCCCAGGAACTTTATGATTGTGTTTCTCAGACTGAATATCGGTGAGTCACACTTGCATGCAGATTACATTACTGTAAAAAACTTTTACCATATTCAGCACCTCTTGGTGGTAGTAGAATTCTTTTTGTCTTTTCACTACATTATGATTTTTTAAAACCTCTATTAGTATGAAATGTTTAATATATACAAAAAAGGCTCTGTGTGTGTATGTCAGCTATAAGGTTTAGAGTGGTTTTCAAACTTTTGACCTCAAGACTTAAGAAAAAAAAATAATATATTTTTGTTGTTTCTGTTTTGTTTTTGTACTGGAAGTTGAACAAGGGCCTTCACCCTGAGCTATATAACCCCAGCCCTTACCCCACCACCACAACTTTTTTGGAGGTGGGTTCTCACTAAATTGCCCAGGCAGAGTTTGAGCTTGTGATCCTCCTGCCTCAGTCTCCCAGAGTAATGGGATTACAGGTGTGTGCCACCATCCCTGGTTCCATTATATTTTAAAAATTGTTACAGACCCCAAAGAGCTATTGTTTATGCATATACCTATTTTTACTGTATTAAAACTTGGAATTGGGAACTTTAAAATGTTTGGCTTATTTAAATATAACAGTGCTATGTTAAGATAAATAATTTTTATGGAAATGTTTTTATTTGAAATATACTGTATAAGTGGCATTGTATAGTTGTTGATTTTCTTTTCGGTACTGAGGATCGAACTCAGGACCTTGCATTTGTGAGGCAGACATGGTGTCACTGAGCTAAATCCCTGGCCTCTTGGCATTGTGCAGTTTTGCAAATCTCTTAATGTCTAGCAATGTGAGACAGCTACATTCAGTCTGTTACAATAATCATGTTATTGCTAGAAAACTGTTCTTCACCTTTTGGAGAATAAAAATCAAAAGACAAATAATATCTTAGTCTTATTATGAAAATAGCTATGACCTCTTCAAATTTGCAGACCCTCGGGAGTCTTAGATTCCCTGGGGTCACCAGACTGTTTTGAAGACCAGCTGGTATAAAAACTATCCCTGTCCCTGCATTCAGGTAGAACTTTATCCTTTCCTAGCTATATCCCACCTTCCATCATCTGTCTAAAATTCTCACCCTTTTCTTTATAGTTTTACTAAATATTATACAACAAAATGTTGATGTATTTTGCCTGGTTTTTTTGGAACCAGGTATCCAACTCGGGACCTTGGGCTTGCCAGGCAGGTGTGACACCACCGAGCTAAATCTCTGGCCTATTTTGCCTGTTTTTGAACTTAATAATATCCTACTGAATGCTTTCTTCAAAATAATTTAGTTTATGTAGCATTCATTTGTAACAAAAATATTATAAATCTAGTTTTTATGTAAATGCGGTATAGTGTAAATTCCTTGCTTTGGCCTGAATGTTTGTGTCCTCCCAAAATTCGTACATTGCAACCTAATCCCTAATGTGACAGTAGTACTAGAAAATGGGGCTTTGGAGAGTGGGCTTAGTGCCTTTATGAAAGAGACCTCAGAGTGCTACTCAGCCCCTCTGCCATATGAGAACACATAGAAGCTACTATCTGTTAAGAAGAGGGCCCTCAACAGACACTGGACTAATTAGCACATTCATCTGGAACGTCACAGCTCTAATTCTGTGAGAAGTAAATATCTGTTTTTTTATAAGCTACTCAATCTGTTTTATTAAAGCAGCCTGAACAAATGAGACAGTCTTTCAATTCTAGGCCTTCATTTTGAAAAAAAATTAATGAGTAGCAAAAATTTCTGTAACTCCTCAGTGTTCCTCTCCAGCTCCTCCCTCTCATGTTTTGTTTTAATTCAGCATTGAGATTTATCCATGCATCTAGTACTAGCTGGTTTACAGTCAGTTCTTTTGTGACAAAGCATATAATTCCTAAACCTGACCACCGCATTTTATGAAATCATGCAGTAAAAACCATATAGGACTATGGGAAAAGTGAAGTTAGGGATACAACACAAAAAACTTCATCAGGGACATGTTTTTTTAAAAAGATAGAATACTAATAAAAGTGGTATCGTTTTTATAGATGTTAAATGGCTAAGAAATACATAAATGCTAAAAAAATTTGGTATTGTACCTGCTGTATGATATGCCATTGTATGTATCACTAATCCGTAATGCATTTGTTGCTTATAACTTAGTACCTGTGTAGCAACACAATTGCATAAGCAAGCTTAGAGACAGTTAATTATCACAATGCTTATACTGTTAAAATTAGATTGATAAATGTGTTTGATAATATTAAAGACACTAGGGTTGATAATCATATACAAATGTTATAAAACAGCTATGAGATTTTCCTGACGTAAAATCGTGGGCTGTACAGATCTGTTGTAATTGGGTGAGAAAATGATTTCTAATCATAATATTCAGATGATCAGTGAATGAATTTTATTATTGGTAGGTCTTTACTGATGCACAATTAAAAATTTATGTGAGATTTGTGATGAAAATATGTCTTCTAACCATAGCCTTTTTTTTTTTTTTTTTTGTACTGGAGATTGAACTTCAGGACCTTGTGCTTGTGAGGCAGGTGGCAGCACCACTGAGCTAAATCCCTGGCCCCATAGCCATGTTTTTGAAGGCATAAGCTCACTGTAGAGAACATGAAGGCCATAGCCTCTGACTGATTTCAGTCATACCTAGAATTATGTTGACTTCAGCTTGCTTTTTGAATAGTTGAAATGTTTTTTGTTTGGTTTGGTTTTAGTTTGTTTTTTAGGGGGTTAAGTGTTCAAAGTTAAAGTATTTTGTTTTTCTCCTTTTTTTTTTTCCTTTCCACTTACCTATACCAGGGATTTGAACATGAAATCAATTAGTAAACTCTCTCTTACATCCAGAAGGATGACATTGAAGAGAAAGGAAATACATTTAAAATCTTGAATGCATTGAAAGAGGAAAGTTGCTGCTCAGAAAGCTTTTGGTTTTTTTTTAATTTTGTTTCGTTTGGTACTGGGGATCGAACTTGGAACTTTCCGCTTGCGAGGCAGTTAGCAGCACCACTGAGCTAAATCTCTGGCCCAGCTTTTGGTTAATAGCATCTGGATTTGCTTGTTTGTTTGTTGAGACAGGGTCTCACTATGTAGTTGAGACTGACCTGGAACTCACTATGTAACCCAGGCTGGTCTCGAACTCACAGCGATCCTCCTGCCTCAGCCTCCTGAGTACTGGGATTACAGGTGTGCACCACCATGCCTGGCTTGCTACAGTTTTTTAAAGAAAAATTATTTGTCCATTTTTAAAGTGAACAGTGCCTTCTATATTAAACTGTGGTGTATATCATCATTCATAACCTTCAAATAAACTGCCAATAGAGATTTTTGGCTTTATTGATTCATATGAAACACAAGGCCAAGTGTAGTAGATGAGAGATGGTGCCTTTTCCTTTTCTTCCCCCAGCGTGGTGATTTGAACTGAGGACCTTAGGGAGGCACTGTGCCCCTTAGCTACATCCCTGGCCTGCCCTTTCCTTTTGACTTAGGTGAAAACAGAAGGATGTAGATGGAATCCTGTAGGAATGTTTAGGAAAACAAGTATTCAAGTTATATGAAATGGCTAGTCATTGTTTTTGAAGTATTAGTTGTTGACAGGTGATTACCACAGAACATTTTGCAATGAGGAAGTGTGAGGTATTAAGAAATATGTCTGTGCCTCTTCCTTTGGTTTCTGAGACAGAGCTCCAAAAACCCTTGTAGATAGGGTTGTAGGAGAATCTTTTGTTCTGAGGTTTTGTCTTTAACCATCATTTGCTTTTTGATTGTTCATTGCTAATGTATAGCAGTAGAACTCTCTCTGTTGATCTATTGCTTCATAAGAACTCTTATTGGCCCTGGACTCTCCTGCTAGGAGCATCTTTTGTTTAATGAAGTGACTCTTGGTGGGCTCCTGGAGAAGGGCTGGAGATTGAGTTAGTAATTGATCATGTCTGCGTTATTGAGGTCTTTCTAAAAATCCTGAAACTTTTGGGGCTTAGAGAGCTTTTGGGTTGCTGGATACACAGAGGTACCTGGAGAGTAGCTCACCCACAAAGGACATAGAAGCATATTGAAGAGATAATGCAACTCTTCATCTGGCTGTTCACTTGTATCCTTGGTAATCTGACTTAGAATAAATGGGTAAACATAAGTAAAGTATTTCCTGAGTTCTTTGAGTTGTCCTAGAAAATTAGTCAAATCCTAGAAAAGGGGTCATTAGGAACCCTGATTTGTAGGTGCCACACTGGTACTTGAAATAGGCATATGAAGTAAAAAAGTACTCTTGTGGAATTGAGCGCTCACCCTGTGGGAGTGGACTGTAATCAGAATTGGATTGAATGATAATGACACCCAGTTGGTGTCCACTGGAAAACTGCTTGGTGTGTGGACATTCTCCCTACACCTTTCCGATCTGATGTCACAGTTGAGGGTTTATGTCTGGACTTCGAATTCCATTCATTGGTCTGACTATATGTCTTGTTTTTATGCCAATATCAGCTTTGATGAAGTTGCTTTGTAGTAAGTTTTGAAATTAGGAAGTGTAATTCCATTAAAATTGTTTTTCTTTTTCAAGATATAGGAGTCCCTGCAATTCTGTATGAATTTTAGGATAAGCTTTTCCATTTTTGTAAGAATAGCTTTTTGGGACTTTGGTAGGAATTATATTGACTCTGTAGATGGGGAGTATTAACCATTTTACTACATCTTCCAATATAGTATCCCTTTCTGCTTATTTTGGTCATCTTCAGTTTTTTTCAGTCTTTTGTTTTAATATACACACTTGTGTCTTTGATTATATTCCTAATTACTGTACATGTGTGTATGTGTAAATTTGTTTACTTTTTTAGTTTGTTCATTGCCAGTATATAGAAATAGGACTTTTTTTTTCTTCTTCTTCTTTTTTTTTTGGTACTGGGGATCAAGCTCGGGATCAGGCAGCAGAACTGCTGAGCTTGCATCAGGCAGGGGAACCACTGAGCTAAATCCCCAGCCCAGGACTGGTTTTTTAATGTATTTTTTTACTTTGCACCTTTGATAAATTAGTTCATTAGTGCTAACATTTATATTGTGAATTCTTCAGGATCTCCAAATAAAGATAATTTCTTTATTTCCAATATGGGGGCCTTTAATTTCATTTTCTTGCTGAATTGGGACTGGTAAAAGGAGGCGTCCATATGTTGTTCTTTATCTTAGCGGTAAACTTTCAATCTTTTATGATTTGAGTGTGATATTAACTATTATATGCTGCTTTTATATTAGCATTATATATATTATTTTAATTTGAGATGCACTTGTTAAATGTCTGGAAAAGTTCAGAGATTTGTAAAACAAATGTCCATTATATACTTTCTTCTTGTACTTTGGAAGAATTTTGGAAAATCTGCATCAAATACTGAAATTAGGTCAATTCACTGCTACCATCACAGACTTGGTTAAAGCAAGTTTCCTATAACAGGAAAATTTAGACAGACTGTGGCTGTTGTTAATTCAGAAATCTCATGAAACAGCATATAATTACAGAATCAGAATCATCCTCTAGTTTTGAGCTCCATTCGGAAGGGATCAGAAACTGGGATAGTTTTGTTGGAAATAGGAACACAATGAGGGGTACATAAAGTATTTGTATTATCAGGGAAAAAAGATTTTTGTTTTAATTTATTTAGGCAGACTCAGATGGTTTTTTTAGGCTCAAGATGAAGAACATTCTCGAAGTTAGATATCCAAAAGTATAAGGTGCTTCTCACAGTTGTGATGGTCCAGTCAACAACAGGTGAAATGACTCATTGGAGATAATGCAGAGTAGCAAGCAAGTTGGTTAAGGTGCCTCCACATCTAATGTTCTGTCATCTTCCATGTGAGCCATGGGGGGAAAAAGAAATCAAGAATTCCTGTCATCACTAATACCCAGCCTTACTTTACTTCGTCAGCAGTTATAATTTACTGCAGGAAACCAATCTGTAGATCTTAATCCATTGTCAGAATGGTGACTTATGAATAAAGAAACCAAATGCAACTGGAATGAAAAGAGGAGATGGAGTTTTCCCTCTTAATGCAAAGGATTAGGGAGAGAAAGCGAAAGACAGAAAGATTCAGAAATATAGCTACTGAAGGAATTTTTTTTTCACATGTGGAATAAATAGGATAGGAATAGGGGCTGGCCTTGTTTCATTTTTAAATTTATAAGAAAATATTTTTATCTCTGCCAATTTGAACCTCTTGAGTGTGTTCCAAAATAATTTAAGTAGTTGTGAAGAATTGGCAGCAACACTAGTTTTTAAGTTTTAAATATTGGAATAAGACTAGGGTAACTCAAAACTAAAAAAAATATGATTTTAACCAGTCTCAAAGAAACCACATATCCTCAGGAAATGAGGTTGCTCAAAATATGGTATATTTATTCTGCTTCCTTCCTTTCATTCTATCATGAGTTCTGACTTCTTCCTTTGTCCTATGTGAAGAGGTCCATCACTTGGGAGGGAAAGTGGGAGAAGTAGCTAGTGGTTCTCACACCACAGAGATGGCTCAGAGCCACTCAGAGAGCCAAGGAAGTAATAAGTCTAAGTGTAATAGTAAAAATGACTGACATTTCTCCAACACCTAATGTGCTGGGGGCTGCTCTAGACTCTGAGTGTTCTTCTTGAACTTAAGACAATTTCCCAGTAGATTTATAGGTTAAAAATAGATTGGTGTCCCATAATATGTAGGCCCCTGTTATCTTTTGAGAATCTTTTGGCTTAGAGAAAAATAACTGTGATGGAATGTATAGACTTTACTTCCTGCTTCTGCACTTGTGCTTTAGGGTTACTCATATCCATTTATTAACTGGTAGGCAACTTATGCCAACCACCTTTTTTTTAAGTGGCAATTCTGTCAGCTTCTTACTGCTTTTCAAATGGCTGTTCCTCGTGTGTCCTTTAGCCCATCTATTCTTTAACTCTCAAACCAAATGAGACAAAACGAAAACATCTGCTTCACAGTATTGGTTAGATAACATCTTAACCTAAGCTCCTCCTGTGTTAGGAGGGTAAAGTAGAACTATATTGTGTAGCCCCTCCTACCACCATACAAAGAATTATGCATCAGCAACTCAACCTTTGCTTGTTGGCAGCAGTCTGCCATGGGAACACTTCTTTCTGAATTTTAAGAATTGTGCAAAGGTTTTTTCCATGCTGGCTAAGAGTCTGTGCTAAGAAACTATAATTACTGGTATTTTCTCATGTCAAAAATGTATTTCACATCTCAGCATTATCACCTTATCTGTAGAACTTTAATATATTTAAAGAAATAGAGTCAGTATGTTAAAAAGATACCTGCATGCTCTTGTTCAGTATAGTCTTAGTCACAATAGCCAAGACATGGAATCAACCTAAGTGCCAGTCAACTAAGGAATGGATTTTTTAAAAAGTGGAATATGTACACCTTCAAATACAACTTAGCCTGAAATAACAGCAACAAAAACAAACAAAAGGAAATGATTTGAAACAACATAGATGAACTGGAGGGCATTATTTATGTTAAGGGAAATAAGCCAGGCAGAGACATACATACTAGGGTTTCACTTTTATGTGGGGTCTAAAAATGTTCAACTCACACAAGTTAAGAGAGTATAATGGCAGGTAACTAGGGGTATGGGGTAATGATAGAGGGGTTGAGATCTTGATCAGAGGACACAAAATTTCAGTTAGGAATAAGTTCAAGAGAGCAATTACACAAGCTGGTAACCTTAGTTAATAACAATATATTGTGTTTTTGCCAAATGTTGGGGCACACGTCTGTAATGCCAGCACCCTGTAGACCAGCCTGGGTTACAGAGGAAGAAGACTCTGTCTCAAAAAGTAGAATTGTATTTTGTGAATTAAGAGTAGATTTTAGGTGTTCTCATCACAAAAAGAAGTATGTGAGACAATGCATAATTAATTCACTTGAGGCATTCCACAATATTATCACGAACATCAGAACATCATACTTATACAATAAAAATATACTTATTTTAAAATCAGAAAAAGGAAAGAAACCTGACTAGCAGTGACTTAACATTCACTTTTCTCCTAGGGAAAAGTTAACCATCGGATGCCGCCAGCTAGTTGAGATGGAGTGTGCCATGCAGCAGTGCAGTGCATCTGTCTACGTGGGGGCCAAGAACTGGGGGTGGTGTGAAGACACGTTCGACTACAGGACCTAAGTGCTGTGACATTACAGAGAAACTGCATTCTTCTTTGTAACTTCAGAGGCTTTGTCTTCATGAGTAACAGTAATTTTCGATCTGGTTACTTTTTTGAACCTAACCCAGAAGTTTAAGAAATATTTTCTAGGCACCAAAAAGTGATTGTGTTACTGACAGTCTCATTGAAGCTCTAAAGAGCCTAATGGATGCATTGTGAAATAAACTGTGCACTCAGCTTTCCTGGAGTGGACAGTGCCTGCATACCTTTATCCTAATTCCAAGCCAGTATCTCTAAGGAAAAGGAGCCATCTTTCTCCTAGGGCAGGAGCCATGTGGGCAACTGAGGAATGCCCAGGGTGTAGTATTAGCATCTCTCTCAGTCCTGAATATAAGCATATGACCAGATACTGCCAAACCCTAAAAATTAGGACTTGACCTCATGTTTACCACATTCCACAATTGAAATCTTGTCTGCAGTTGTTTTTTAATGATCAAGTATTTATGTAGATGGGGTAGAAATAATAACAGTACCATCCCCACCTCCCTCAGGTAATAGAATTTTGACTTCAGCTCCTACTTCCTGTACAGCCTCTCCTCCGAGCTTGTAATTTTTCAATGCATTTCTAGTAGGGAAGAGAAGTGACCCCTGTGCTGAATTAAATCTGAAGCAGCCTGAATTATTGGCAGTGACTGATGTTTGCCACTATCAACTGTTTAATATACTAGGGTTTCACTTTTATGTGGGGTCTAAAAATGTTCAACTCACACAAGTTAAGAGAGTATAATGGCAGGTAACTAGGGGTATGGGGTAATGATAGAGGGGTTGAGATCTTGATCAGAGGACACAAAATTTCAGTTAGGAATAAGTTCAAGAGAGCAATTACACAAGCTGGTAACCTTAGTTAATAACAATATATTGTGTTTTTGCCAAATGTTGGGGCACACGTCTGTAATGCCAGCACCCTGTAGACCAGCCTGGGTTACAGAGGAAGAAGACTCTGTCTCAAAAAGTAGAATTGTATTTTGTGAATTAAGAGTAGATTTTAGGTGTTCTCATCACAAAAAGAAGTATGTGAGACAATGCATAATTAATTCACTTGAGGCATTCCACAATATTATCACGAACATCAGAACATCATACTTATACAATAAAAATATACTTATTTTAAAATCAAAAAAAGGAAAGAAACCTGACTAGCAGTGACTTAACATTCACTTTTCTCCTAGGGAAAAGTTAACCATCGGATGCCGCCAGCTAGTTGAGATGGAGTGTGCCATGCAGCAGTGCAGTGCATCTGTCTACGTGGGGGCCAAGAACTGGGGGTGGTGTGAAGACACGTTCGACTACAGGACCTAAGTGCTGTGACATTACAGAGAAACTGCATTCTTCTTTGTAACTTCAGAGGCTTTGTCTTCATGAGTAACAGTAATTTTCGATCTGGTTACTTTTTTGAACCTAACCCAGAAGTTTAAGAAATATTTTCTAGGCACCAAAAAGTGATTGTGTTACTGACAGTCTCATTGAAGCTCTAAAGAGCCTAATGGATGCATTGTGAAATAAACTGTGCACTCAGCTTTCCTGGAGTGGACAGTGCCTGCATACCTTTATCCTAATTCCAAGCCAGTATCTCTAAGGAAAAGGAGCCATCTTTCTCCTAGGGCAGGAGCCATGTGGGCAACTGAGGAATGCCCAGGGTGTAGTATTAGCATCTCTCTCAGTCCTGAATATAAGCATATGACCAGATACTGCCAAACCCTAAAAATTAGGACTTGACCTCATGTTTACCACATTCCACAATTGAAATCTTGTCTGCAGTTGTTTTTTAATGATCAAGTATTTATGTAGATGGGGTAGAAATAATAACAGTACCATCCCCACCTCCCTCAGGTAATAGAATTTTGACTTCAGCTCCTACTTCCTGTACAGCCTCTCCTCCGAGCTTGTAATTTTTCAATGCATTTCTAGTAGGGAAGAGAAGTGACCCCTGTGCTGAATTAAATCTGAAGCAGCCTGAATTATTGGCAGTGACTGATGTTTGCCACTATCAACTGTTTAATTGACTTCTTATACAGTAAGTTGGAAATCTTTGTTTACTGAAATGTATTAGGCTTTTGTTAACACTTAGATAAAATCAGATTTGGCTTTGTTACACGTTAATTTATTTTTAAAAAGAGCAATAAACAACTTATTTTCATTAAGGTGTTTCTTTTCATTTTACTTTCAAATAGTGTTTCTGAAATCCATATAAGGTATGATCATAAAAGTGACCTCAATACAAAGAACTGATCCAGGATGTTCATTAGTAGTTGGCGTCAGATCTGCTAAGCTGTGTGTGTGTCAGTCATGTAAGGAAAGTGTACTACCAAGTGTGGGGCTCAGAGTGCTGCCAGAGACATGGGCCACTGAGAACCTGGGAAGCTTCAGGAGAGCATCTGCTCTTCCTTGTCTTCCCTGAGGACCCAAAATTACACGTGCCTCTAAATTAAAGAACTTTAGATCTCCATCCCCCAGCTGCTGCTTCTTGTTGCTGTTGTTTTGCTCTGCCTTGTTACTTACATCTTTTCTTTTATCTTTCATGAAATTCCCTTTTATTCCTATCACTTTCATATTTTCACATACTTTGATATGGGTTTTAATTTTTTATTGTATGGACATCATGTATCTTACTTTCACTTTAGTGTCAATTTATTTCAACTGTTTTATTTTGAGATGTGTAGATATTCTTTAGTTTTCTAATCTTTAGTTTGCTTTAGAAACATATCTGGGATTGAACTCAGGACCTTGTGCTTGCCAGGCAGGTGCGGGGCCACTGAGCTAAGCCCTGATTTCTTTCACTCAAGGCTTCCCTTCCTTTGTTGCTCTTCATTAGTTTTGTACTTGTTCCCCAACACAGGGATTGAGGGGTCCTTTTTCTCCCATCTTCTACTCTGTCTCCGGCTTCCCATTCAGGGTTGGAGTAACTCATTTAACTCATGTATCATAAGCTGCACCTTAAAGAACATATGTGATTTTATTTTTTTGGTACTGGGGATCGACCTTATGCTTGTGATTTTATAAGTAAAAGAATGTTTATATCCTTCAAAAAGGAACTTGGAAGTTTAAGATTTCCATTGTTCAGTATGTGCACCTAATGTATTGGGTCAGAAGCTATCATAAGCATGCTGTGAACCAGAAGGGATTTATGGACAGTTATACCAGAGGAACTTTGAACACAACACTCTTGATCTTGTTATAGCAAGGAGGAGCTATAACAAGCTCCGTGATAACAGAGAGGTGTCCATGACGTTATTCTAGCAACATGCTGTGCTTAGGTACTTGGTGCATTTTACTAGCCCAACTTGATTTTTTTTTTTTCTTTTTCACAAAAAGTAGGAGACCCTATGGAGGATCCTGTGGTTGGAAGTTAACCAGCTCTTACTGTATTTAAGGCCAAGGAAAAGTGAAAGTACTACTCCACTGAGTCCTCTTGATAGGACCTAACACTGCACAGATTAGAGGTTCACAGGTGAATTTCACATTCAGTGTGAGTCTTCTCCTGTCACATGAAAGGCCAGGTGACAAGATAGGTTCGAAGTTGTTTCCTTGATAGTTTGAACATTGTTCTTAAGAACAGAAGTCCTTCCTGGGAAAATACGTTTATTTGAATGGTGTCTTACTCAGGTTTTAGAACCTAGATCACATTGTTTGTATTCTTGGCTCAACAATGCCCTTACCCACCTATGGGAACCCTTTTCACTCCTTACCATTATGGCTTGGGATGAATTTATTTCTTAGACAGGGTCTTTCTATGTAGTCCAGGCTGGCCTTGAGCTCATTTAGCCCAGGCCAACCTTAAAACTTGCAGCGATACCCCTCCCCTGCCTCCTGAATGCTGAGATTATAAGCATGCACCACCACACCCTGCAAATTTAACTCAAACGGACTATCCCTTACTACCAAATAAATACATGTCCTACTCTTAGGATGTGATGCTACTTATTACACTTGTTATTTAGAAACTGAACAAGCTAGTCACCCTCTTTTTTGTCTCAGGCTATTTCACTAATAAATTACCCACTATAGTGAATATAACTAAGCTCCTTAAGGGCAGGAATTACACTATCTCTAGTATGTAATTCAAAGTTTTGGTCAGTGTTTCACAAACTGATATGAAGACAACACTCTGTACCAATCAGAATTTGACTTGTAAGCCCAAGTTTGTGACATATTGGGTTAAAAAGCCACTCAGTAAAAAACTAATACATCTTGACCAGATCAGCTTGAGTTGTGCCCTGCAAAAACACTGGCCTTCTGGAGTCAATACCCCAAAGTGTTAAACTGTTGGTTTTCCTTAAATGCTTCCACTTTATAAATAACTGTCTCCATTCTGGCTGTTAGTGATAAGAACTGGCTGATTTTAGGATTTATAGCTTATTTTGGTGGGGCCACAGGTTTGATGGTTGTCAGCTTCACTGGATTGAGAAACACCTAGTAAAGCACACCTCTGGGTGTGTCTTTGGGTTTCCAGAGATTTGCATGAGGTACAGCAAACCAAGGAGACCCACCCTGAAAGCAGGTGGCACTACTCAGTACAGTAGGCTGAGGGCCCAGATGGAAAAGCCAGAGGAAGCGCAATCTCTGCTTCCTCCCGAGACAAGCAGGTTTCTTCCACCATGCTCATCTATTTTTGCCTCACCATAGGCTTAAAAGCAATGAAGCCAGCTTACCCTGGATTTAAACCTCTGAAACCATGAGCCAAACTGTATCTTGTAAGTGTTCTCAGTTGTCTCATCACGGTTCAGATAGCTGAAACAGGAATCCTTTTAAATTCTGACCTAGTTTGGGAGATGGGTGGAGTGGAAGGGGAACATAAAAGAATCCAGATGTGTCATGTACATGTACCTACTCCCCAAGACGATTGTAAACTTAGGTATTGCAAACATAATAAAGATTTTTAAAAATTCTGACCTAATTTTGTTTAAAATGTCTTGAATTTAGTTCCAGTGTTCAAACTCTTGAGGACAGATTCTTGAGAACTACATCAGAAACCCAAAAAGTGGGCACTTTGAGCTACTGGCTTGGTTCAGTATTCCTAACTGCAAATAAACTTCAACATCAGTACTTTTTTTTACCCCTATGCAATCTTTTCTTACAGCCTTTGCTGCTCTACAACAGACTGGTGGTTATGGCCTGCAGAGTCAGTGAGAAGGGCTCCTCAATGTGATTATTAGTGAAGTAAAAAAGGGGCATGTCCTTTAAGCCTGCTTCTGACTTGGCACTTTTAGTTAAGGTACAGAGAAAATTCTTTCTCCAGTTCTGTAGGTTTTGTTAATCATGTAATTACCAACTCACAGTATATGAAGTTTCAGCTGGGCAAGGTGGCACACACCACTACTATGTTACTTGGTAGACTGAAGCAGGACTGCAAGTTGGAGGCCGGTCTGGGCAACTTAGATCCCTCTCAAAGTTAAAAAGGGGATTGGATTTGGAAATGTAGTTCAGCACTCCAAGTTCAGTTTCCAGTACTGTAAAATAAATTCAAAGCCCCTTTGTAATTAACTCCCATGCCCATCTTAGGCCACTGATGCATTTGTCACCTTCTGCAGTTTCCCTTTTCTAGAATGTTACACACATGGTGTCTTTTCACATCCTGCTGCCTATCCATACTGTCCAACATATAGTCTGTATCAGTAATTCTTTTTTTTTTTTTGGTACTGGGGATCAAACTCAGGTC